AAAAAAAAAAAAGAAAACAAAATAAATAAGATAAAGTTTTAGAGGCAGAAAACTTCCTTTGTACTTCTAGAGAAAAGAAAAAAACACTTGGGAGAAAAAGTATTACAAATAACTGAATCAATGCTTCAAATGAAAGCAATACGGGTCACTTAGATGTACTAGGAGACCACAGACAGAGAGTTATGTAGCTTTAGGAAACATGACTATTAAAACTCCAAATATTGGCTGGGCGCAATGGCTCACACCTGTAATCCTAGCACTCTGGGAGGCCTAGGAAGGCCAGACAGAACAAGAGCAAGACGCCATCTCTAAAAATAGCTGGCATTGTGGTGGGCACTTATAGTCCAAGTTACTTGGGAGGCTGAGGCAAGAGGATCCCTTGAGCCCAAGAGTTTGAGGTTGCTACAAGCTGTAACGCCACAGCACTCTACCAAGGGTGATAAAGTAAGACTCTGTCTCAAAAAAAAAAAAAACAAAAAAAAACATTATCTTGCCTACAGTTTGCAGGCAAATTGTAAACCAGTAAGATAATAGTCACATTTAGGATAACTATTAGTTATTAATTAAAGAAAGAAAGAAAGATGCAATTAATCTCTCAATGACAAATACAAATTATTTTCTCCTTTCATAAGGAAACAAAACTTACCTAATATGGCTTCTTCTTGCTGGAGATCTATGAATATCAAATAATGTGTTTTCTCTCTTTTTTTGATGAGCTGGTACTAAAAGAAACAAACAAACAAACAAAAAAGGATGATGGAGAAATAACTAATAATAAATTAACATCTTAAAGGAGAGAAGTTACTTCTGTTAACTTTCTACTCATATGTCTTCAATTTCTGAATGCTATTTAGAACCACATTAATAAAAATTTTGTATTAATACTATGAAGTTGGAAATACACACTCTGAACAGATGTTAACAAATCTTTGTGACTATGGGTTAGACAACGATTTCTTAGATATGACACCAAAAACACAATTCATTTAAAAAATGTTTTAGAGGTGACACGTGCGGCTCAGTGAGTAGGGCTCCAGCCCCATATACCCCAGGTGGTGAGTTCAAACCCAGCTCCAGCCAAACTGCAACAACCACAACAACAACAAAAAAAAATAGCCAGGCATTGTCATGGGCACCTGTAGTCTCAGCTGCTCGGGAGGCTGAGGCAAGAGAATTGCCTAAGCCCAAGAGTTGGAGGTTGCTATGAGCTGTGATGCCATTGCACTCTATCAAGGGCGATAAACTGAGACTCTGTCTAAAACAATATATACATTTTATAGGGCGGCACCTGTGGCTCAGTGGTAGGGCGCCGGCCCCATATACTGAGGGTAGCAGGTTCAAATCCGGCCCTGGCCAAACTGCAACAACAAAAAATAGCCGAGAGTTGTGGCGGGCACTTGTAGTTCCAGCTACTAGGGAGGCTGAGGCAAGAGAATCACCTAAGCCCAGGAGTTGGAGGTTACTGTGAGCTGTGTGATACCACGGCACTCTAATGAGGACAATAAAGTGAGATCCTGTTGCTACAAAAAAAAAAAAAAGAGAGAGAAAGAAAGAGAAGAAAATCTAGCCCCGCATTGTGGTGGACACCTGTAGTCCCAGCTACTGAGGAGGCTTCAGCAAGAGAATCTCTTGAGCCCAAAATTTGGGGTTACTGTGAGCTATGGTATTATGGTATTCTACCGAGGGCAAGAGAGACTCTATCTATAAATAAATAAACAAACAAATAAAAAACAAGGAGCATTTGTGATCTGATTCCACCTATATAATAAAGAAAATATAATCTAATCTCTGGTGAAAGAAAGATCAGACCAGTAGCTGTCTAGAGATCAAAAGGGAAGAGGCATAAGAAGGGGTGGAAGTAGATGACAAATAGGGACAAGGATAACCATGTTCATCTTCTTTTTTTTTTTTTTTTTTTTTTGAGACGGAGCCTCAAGCTATCCCCCTGGGTAGAGTGCCATGGCATCACGCTCACAGCAACCTCCAACTCCTGGGCTCAAGCGAGTCTCCTGCCTCCGCCTCCCAAGTAGCTGGGACCACAGGCGCCCGCCACAACGCCCGGCTATTTTTTGGTTGCAGCCGTCATTGCTGTTTGGCGGGTCCGGGCTGGGGATTCAAACCCGCCACCTTAGGTGTACATGGCTGGCGCCTTAGCCGGTTGAGCTATAGGCGCCGAGCCACCATGTTCATCTTCTAATTGTGGTGACAGTTTCATAGGTACATATATATTTCAAAACTTGCCAAATTGTAGACTATAAATATGTGCAAGGAAAAATAAAATCTCTTCTCATATACTTGAAATGCATGCATAAATAAGTATAATGAGTATAATATTTCATCAAAAGGGCTTTCTTAAGAAAAAAAAAATCTAGAACAATGGTCTCAATCTTTTTTCTGCCATAGACACCTCCTCCATTTGTCACTGGGCTACCTGTAACAGACCCGTAACTGGAGAAGGATATCTGCACACTTGGGCAAGCTTCTGGAGAGTTGTCTCTGATACCTCCACTTCCAGAGTATCAATCATTGTTTTAGAACATTTAGAACATAAAATTTTGAGTAAGACCTATGATCTTCCTTGAAAACAATATGCTAGGGTGGTGCCTGTGGCTCAGTGAGTAGGGCGCCGGCCCCATATACCAAGGGTGGCAGGTTTGAACCTGGCCCTAGCCAAACTGCAACAAAAAATAGCCAGGTGTTGTGGTGGGCACCTGTAGTCTCAGCTTCTCAGGAGGCTGAGGAAAGAGAATGGCCTAAGCCCAAGAGCTGGAGGTTGCTATGAGCTGCGATGCCATGGCACTCTACTGAGGGCAACAAAATTAGACTCTGACTCTACAAAACATTATGCTGACTCAGCACCCATAGTTCAAGGGCTAAGGTGTCAGCCACATACACCAGAGCTGGTGGATTCAAATCCAGCCCAGGCCTGCCAAATAACAATGACAACTACAATCAAAAAATAGCTGGGCATTGTGGCGGGTGCCTATACTCTCAATTACTTCGGAGGCTGAGGCAAGAGGATCCACTTAAGCCCAAGAGGTTGATGTTGCTGTGAGCAATGATGCCATAGCACTCTACCCAGGGCAACAGCTTGAGACTCTTGTCTCAAAAACAAAAACGAAAAAGAAAAAATAAAAAAATATTATGCTAAGTGAAAGAATCCAGATAAAAAAGTCACATATAACCAAACCTACAGAGATTAGTGGTTGCCAAAGGCTAGGGGGAAGAAAGGGGACAAATAATTAGTTCACCATTGAACAATACAGATTTGAACTAAGTGGGTCTAAGCAGACATGGCTTTTTTCCAACCAAATACAACAGTATTTGAAGGAAGCAAACATCCATGTATATAGAAGGTGACTCTTGGTATACACACGATACCACAGAGCCACCTAGGAGGTATGAACACGTGCACACTGTGATATATGTGAGAGGACATGAGACCAGTGACCAGAGTATACCAGTGACCATTATAAGTGTTTTGGAATTACAGAGTGGTAATAATGGCCTAACACTGTAAATATCCAAAAACCACTGAGTTGTGTGTGTATATATATTTTATTTTTAGTATAGACAGAAAACCGCTGAGTTGTGTGAGAGAG